CCTCCTTGACCTGCTCCTCTCCCTCCTTGACCTGCTCCTCTCCCTCCTTGACCTGCTCCTCTCTCTCTTTGACCTGCTCCTCTCCCTCTTTGACCTGCTCCTCTCCCTCCTTGACCTGCTCCTCTCTCTCTTTGACCAGTTTCTTTGCAAAATGATAAAAAAAATATATATGAATATATTATATATATTATATAAATATCTATATAGTAATATATATTAGGGCTGTCAAACGAATGAATTATATTTTAGTTGATTACGTCGCATAGAAATGGTGAGTTAACTTCACGATTAATCGCATTTTTAACATTCTTATTTCAATCACTCCAATTGAAGTTAAATGAGATTTTCAAATGTAAAGACAATTATTATTCATACCAAATGTACTTAAAGAGTAACTAAACACCAATATCAACTTTTTTTTACTTATACACTGCTAAATAGGTTCCTATAGTGGCTCTACATGTCCTGGCCATATATTTGACATATTAATCCAAATTAGTTAGAAATCAGCACTTTGACCTAAACCGTCTGTGTGGCGCCCTCTCTATGTTTTTCCGTGTCACTACATTGGAATTTTGTTCCTGACTCTCCATTGCTCTTTGAGTTCCCTAGTTTTCTGTGACGCAGTCTATCCCGAGCCTCTGCTATAAGTCTGTTTGACTTGCTCACAACCTTCTACATTTGGGTACAACCAACAAGAGTTTGACACGTCATGGCAGTAATGCGTTAATTAATTTTTTTTACGCGTTAACTGAAAACGGTAATTAACGTGAATGAACTCGATAATTTGGACAGCCCTAATATATTTATATATATATATATATATATAAAATTAAATTACATTATTATTTTTTTATTACTGTTATTTAACCAGGAAAGTCCCATTGAGATTAAGGACCTTTTTTCAAGGGAGTCCTAAATAAAATCACATACAATTACTGATTACTGACTGTTGTCAAAGCAGTGCTATCCTGTTGTGTATCCTTTGCTTTCTGGTTACAGCTAACTCGTGACAGAATTGGTCACAGTTCATCTCTGGTTTTGGAGACCGGAAGTGGTTCATTGGGGGAGGGGAACACACTAGAAACTCTCATATGTTTTCTAGGTCGGAAATAACTTAGTTGAAAGCACTCCCAAGCGGAGTTACCGATCTCTAAACTTACTGTATAGAGATAGTAAGGTCGGGAGGAGGGTCTGCCTTGGTTGATGTTGGCTGCGAGGGAGGTCACTTGAGTACCAGGTTGTCCAAGCAAGCTAGTGGCTGCTGAGTTAAAGAGTCTGACCGCCTGAAAAAATCGTTGGATCACGGTAACGGGTTAGGGCAACGTCTTTAATCGGTGGCAACTGGTGTAAACCAAAGCCAAAATTGAGTCGCGCATTTGGCAGGTTGTCCTGAGTCCACTCCTTTCCGCCTGGTGATCAAGTGAAGGCTTTTTGTCCTATATAACATCAACATTAAAACAAAATATTACGGTTACGGTTCGTGAAATAACATCTGAGACAAACTATTTGATCTTGATGCCGAAGCGAACAGGGAAGAGACACAGTTGTCGTCATGTCCAACGGGTTGGGACATTTTCAATGTCAGTTTCAAGTTCATAAATCGTATGCGCAATCAGCGGTAGGCGTTCTTTCCCTTCTTCTCTTGCCTCTCACTTAGCGGTGGCGTGTCCAGCATGCAGGAATAACACTGCAGAGAATGATCCTCACCAACCCCACCGAAGCAAAGCCCACACCGGGACAGCACGTGGCGAGCCTATGTCCCTGTCCCGTATAGACGGCTAAGGATGGCCCGTAAGGGTGGATTGATGCCATGTCTTGTCGGCTTTTCAGGGAGGGGGACGCAGCGGCTACAAAGCACTAAATAACATTCAGGGACGAACTGAAAGCAGCCAAGTCCCGCGACAGAGATATTAACAACTCTTATCTTGAGGCTGCACCCCCCCAAAGCTCAGCCCGGACCAAGTGTCTCCACCACTCTGAGACACAGCGCGAGTGACGTAACTCCTGTGTTCACTGACATTTTCAACTCCCTCTCTGCAGTCCTGCCATGTCCCGGCCTGCTTCAAATCCTCCATCAATGCCCCCCCGTCCCGAAGAGCCCAGGATCACAGGACTCAATGACTACAGACCTGTAGCACTTACGTCTGTCCGGCATGAAGTCAATTTGAACGCCTGTCCCTCTCCCATCTCAAGTCCCTCACCTCCCCCCTCCTGGACCCCTGCAGTTTCGCCTACAGAGTCCAACAGATCTGTAGACCAACGCCATCAACCTGGCCCTCCACCACATCCTACAGCAGCTTGGACTCCCCGGGACCTACGCCAGGGTCCTGTTCGTGGACTTAAGCTCTGCCTTCAACACGATCCTGCCACCCTGCTCCAGGACAAGCTCTCCCAGCTCAACTTGCCCGTTCCACCTGCAAGTGGATCACTGACTTCCAGACAGACAGGAAAAGCAGCGAGTGCGTCTGGGGAAGAATGTCTCGGACTCTCGGATATATAAATACAGGAGCCCCACAGGCTTGTTCTTTCTCCCCTGCTCTTTTCCCGTACTACTCAACCACTGCACCTCCAGCCACGTCTCTGTGAAGCTGCTCAAGTTCGCGGATGACACCTCCCTCATTGGACTCATCTCAAAGAACGATGAGTCCGCCTACAGGAGGAGGTGGACCGGCTGGTGTCCTGGGTGGCAGTGGTAACAACCTGGAGCTGAACGCCCGGAGAACAGTGTGATGATTGTGAATTCAGGAAGAGCACTGTCCCCCCCGCCCCCACCTGTCCGTGATGGATCATCCCCTTGGACCGTTTCCTGGCACCACCATCACCCAGGACCTCAAGTGGGAGCTGACCATCAGCTCCCTCATCAAGAAGGCCCACAGAGATGTACATCCTGCTAGCAGCTCAGGAATGCCAAGCGCCTGCCAGATTTGGTGCAGTTCTCACAAGCAGGCCCAACATCGATTCCATCCCCACCTCCTCCGTCACCGTGTTGGTTCGCTGAAGCCACTTCAGTGGACCACACAGAGACTACAGCGCATTGTGCGCTCTGCAGAGGAAGTGATTGGTACGCAGCCTTCCATCGCAGGCAGGACCTGTACGGTCGCCCGAGCTCGAGGCAGGCTGTCCGTATCACAGCCGCCCCCCTCCACCCTGCACTTGGACTATTCCAACCACATCCCCTTAGTAGGAGACTGCGGTCCACAGCGACTAGAACCTCCCGTCACAAGAACAGTTTCTTCCCCTCGTGCTGTTGGACTCTGAACACCGTCTAAACCTGTCCCCAACCGCCCCTTTATAAAGTCACTTTAAACTGCCCATCATACCTCACTTTACTTCACGTACTGCTGTCACCTTACATGGTGTGCACCATGGTGCACTTGTATATTGTAAATATGAAAACGTTAACTCTATTCTAAATTTAAATGTATGTTCCTTTAAAGTGTTTTTATCTTATTTTATTTTTTATATTATTACTCTCGACTGGTGCACTGGCCGATGGCAATTTCCAAGTCTGTGACGTCCGTGTTACTTACTGCATTAAAAAGGAAACTGATTCTGATATTCGTATGCATAAATGCCCCTACGAGGGTTCGGAACATTGGCCGATGTCTCTTCCCCTTCTTTTATCGTTACGGCTAGAGCCGGGTCGTAACAATATAAAAAGTTATTTCTTCCAGTTCCTGTGCGGGCAAAAGGAACAGAGAACAACAAAAGATCATGGTGATCGGCAAACCTATAACCTACAACGCTTTGGTGAGTAACTGGCAGATGTACTGTAAGGAGGCCAGCAGACCAAGCCTAATAACAAAAGTGGCACCCGGTCCAAACCCCTGGGGTACAAAGAAGGCCATCCCCACTCGAGGATATAATTCACAGTGGTGAGTCAAGGCTTTACATTGTATTGAATTGAAAATTTAAATTGAATCATTATTTAAGGATAAAACCAGTTTTTAGTTTTTCTTTCTCCTAAATATTTAAGCACATTGTAACTGTTGAAAAATGATAAAAGTTTACAATGGCTCACATATAAATATACTTCTTTAGGAAGGAAAACTCTGCCTGTTCTTGAAGAATTACTTAGGCCATACTACCAACTGTATAGTGTTGGTCTTTTTTGGTGGTACTTGGAGAGGAAAGTATTTTCTGATGTGGTACATGGTGCACAAAAGTTTGAGAACCCTCGGACGTAGTTGATGCCAGCTGCCAGAAAGCTGTACATAATGTGAATTTCAATAAGTCTTGTGTGTGTTAAAAAAAGATGTCCTGTTGACGTGGTTGCGTTTGGTTACGTGTTGAAATCTGATTTCTGAGGTGCCTTCCTCACGTGGAGGAGTTTACAGTCTCTTAGTCTTGTTCTCAGTGAGGAAGGAGGAGCATGAAGTGAGAATAACAGACGATTTGTGCAGCTTGGTGTTGGGGTAATGCGGACACTGTATCAGACTATTGTCGTGAAGAGGACAGGCAAAGCTCAATATATGGGTACCACCCTAAGCTAATGATTCTTTTCGCAAATCAAGTATTACATAGGTTACCTAAGTAACATAAGTTCTACGATAGGTGCGTATGTCCCTTAGGACTTTCGCTATGGGAATCGCTCGTGACCCCCAGTCCACACGCCATAGAGAATCAAAATAATTTGCTCCCAATCACCACCACCCCCACTAAAAAGGCCCGCCCCTGCACACATCCGCACCCCCCTTGAACTCTGGCCAAGCCGGCTGGCCTATGGCTCGTAGCTAAGGGACTACGCACTATTCGTAGAACTTAAGTTTCATTAGTACTATTAATTTTATTTTTTTATTCTACGTCATGGTGCGACGTCCCTTAGGACTTCGATAGTGGGACACAGACGTGACTACCTGACCGACACAAACAACATACCAAGTACCGCACCTGTAGGATGCCTCTCCCCAAGAGCCCTGAACCAGGGCGGAAAGTCAAACCCGAAGGCCCCCTCAGAGGAGGACCTAACGGTTTAACTCAGTGGCGCTGCAACTCAGCACGGAAAGAGGGGGGGGGGGGGGGGGGGGGGGGGGGAGGGGGGGAGGGGGGGGGGGGGGGGGGGGGGGGGGGGGGGGGGGGGGGGGGGGGTGGGGCCACCGACCGTCGACCACATCCAAAAGATAAGACCGGACCGAAAGAAGAGGACGACGCCCAAGAAGCCGCACGGCAGACCGTCCTCGACCGTCGCCCCCCCTGAGGTGGGGCCGAATAGGCCGCCACACCCCACGGTGAATGCGACCTGAAGCCCAACGGGGGGCCAGACCCTGCTCTGATACGCCCGCCGCACAGCCCGTGGCAAACCCAGTGCGCCAGCCGCTGACGACACGGGCGCCCCTGTTCTTGGGCCCATACACCCAAACCTGAATGACACTCATGGCCAAGTAATGCTCACATTCTGACAGGACACAGAAGGTGCCAGCCGCTCCTCCTCGGGGAGGCATGCGTGCGGATAGAAAGCCCTAATCCTGAAGAACTCCGACCTAAGGCCGACGTGAATGACCTTGGGGAGAAAGGCCGGATTGGGCTCAACAATACCACCATGCCGTCGCCCTCGCCCAAGGACCAGGCAAGCCGCATGGACTAGAGCGCACTCAAGTCCCCGCGCCTCTTAGCAGACGCCAACGGCAGCAAGAAGGCCGTCTAAAAAGCGACAACTCGGGACTCGCCTCCGCCGCCGGTTCAAAAGGCGGACACGAAGCCCCCAAAGGACCACCCTGCGGTCCCAAAACGGGGGCGTTTCTCCTGGAGCGGGGCCACCTCCTGCGAGCCCCCCCGCACGAAAACGATTAACCAACGATTGAGAACGGGCTGTTGAACCCCCCCGAATCCGTCGTGACCCGATGTAAATTGCTGCCGCGAACACCCGCCAAGGAGCGTGTACAGCCCTCCCATTTGTCAAAAAGCTTCTGTAGGAATCCCCAGGACCCGCCTCCAGCGGGCAACGCTGGATCCCGTAACGAAGAAAAAAATAGAGAACCCACCATCGCTGAAGAGCCTCCACCTCGTGGCGTAGGCCCTCACAGTGGACGGCGCCCTCGCCCCCTGAATGCTCCCACCACCGCAGGGGGAAGACCCAGGTCTACGAGGTTCCCCTCTCATGCCTCCAAACCCAGAGCCTGCGGCCGATTATCGCCGGGAAAACCGGGTTTCCCCCCCCTGACTAGAGCCCCCGGCTCGTCCGGGAGGGCCCAGGGCTCCATCACCGCCATCCCTCTCAGGAAGGTAACCAGCGACCTGTCCAGCCACCAGGAACACCGACCCCTCTCCTGTTCAATCCTCCGCAGCAGGACCGGCAGGAGACGCACTGGTGGGAAAGCGCACAGCAGGCTCTCTGGCCAGGGTAAGAGAGCCAAAGCGCCGAAGAAATGGGGGGGGGGGGGGGGGGGGGGGGTGGGATCTTGCCTAGAGGCGGCTCGTCCGCGGCCCTTAAGGGAACCAGACGGGCACTGTGCGTTTTCTGCACTGGCCGAAAAGGTCACCACTGTGACGGCCGAACCCTCCGCCAGATCTTCCGCAGCTACCCGTGGGGCCAGGCCCCACTCGTCCTGGAGTGGGCCCCCCCTGGGACATCCTGTCGCCCCCCGTTCCTGGACCCCCCGGGACGTGGCGCGCCCTGAGAGACAGGAGGTGAAGCGCTGCCCACAGCAGCGTCACCGTCGCCATGCGATGGTGGTGGCTTTCGGGAGTTTGTCAGAGCGTAACCCCTGCGCAATGTTTTCTCCACCATAGATCTGTCAGCAAACCCTTGCACCCTCCAGATGCTGTAAGAAGTCTGTGAGGGGCGGAACGGGAGCTGGAACACGAGACGTCACGGCCCCGCCCTCTCCTGGTATGTTCCTACGCAGGGAGCGGGGTGGACGAAAGGGCCGGGGGCCCCCTGCGTCACACCGTGGAGGCGCCGGGGGCGTCCAACATGCCTGCAGGCCCGACGTCATAAGTACGGGACGCTCATCCCACCGTGACTCGGCTGCTGGGGTGCCCCCCCTTGCTTCTGCCTCAAGGAGGGGGGGGCGAGCCCCTGAGTGGGAAACCCCGGTATTTAAAGCTTTGTAAGCTCAGAGATGCTAACACGCTATCGGCCGAAGCACACACACCACTACACACAGAAAAATCCCTCCGCCTGACCGCTCTCTTGGAGGGCCATAGTATGGAGCATAGGCCGTAGCGCGACTCGGTCGTAGCGCACTGCAAACCCTGCTCTGGGGATGCAGGCACTAGCGAAGGCAACGTTATGTGCTCGAGTAGTTACTCAATCAAATTCACATTATTTGACATGGTTACAATACCCCCAATGAGAACTCTAGAAACAAGTAATGATGAAATGCCCGGTCGGCTTTATTGAAGGAACACTTTCCCCCCCGACCTCCTCTGCCATAGGGAGGGGTCCGGCGGGGTGGGTGCGTTGGCTCCCCGCGAGCCAACCCGGTGGGGTCTGTCCTGGACCCGGGGCCTCGTCGAGGGGGGACGATGGAACAACAGAGTCGCGGAAACGGGTCAGGATGCCTCCCGGGCGAACGCTCTCTGCTCTGTCCCGGCTCCGTGATGGTTGGAGGGCCTCGCGCCTCGGTGCTAGTGCGGGCTAGCCAAGCCGAGTCGATGGCTTGCAGACTCCAGTCCTGCGCCACAAGGCCTGCATGTCCGGGCCGAAGAGGGACGTCTGAGAGATGGGCAGGTCCAGCAGCTGCCTCTTCTCCGCCTCCCTGATATTAGCCAGCCCCAAGCCAAAAGGGTGCCTGGCCCCGCTTGGGCTGCAGCCATGGAGCGGCCACCGTCCACGGCTAGCGTCTGACACATGCGCAGAAATCTCCGCCGATGTGGTCCTCGCCTGTGACAGTAAGGTCCCACTGAGCGCCTGCCAGAAGAGAGCGACCGATTCAGGGCCCCCGTGATGATTGCCATGTTGTTAGCCTATGCGACAACCCGGTGGTGCCGCATTGGCATAACATCTATCCCAGCATCGGCAAGAACATCCTGTCCCGCTCGAGAAGGAGAGGTCTGGGTGCCGGCAGGTGGGCGAGCCAGAGGGGTAGCCAGGGTGCCACTGCCACCTCTAATATAGTCCTTGCCACCCCAGTGTGTGCCCCCTCGAAGACGGCCAATGTACTAATGTAAGCCTTGAGAATCTTCCGCACATTTTCCGCCAAAAGCTAAAAGTCCCACGGTTTCCCACCCGTCTGTGAACCGCAACCCCCCCCCCTTTGGGGGAAAACCTTCCGCGTGGACGTTAAAAATAATACATCCATGGGTGGTGATGCCAGTGCAGTATGCTAATGCTTTGGGTTGTTGGACTCAGGTGTGCCCAGCCCCGGCGATCCAAGATGGCGCCCCTAATCAAATGAATGGTGTGCTCAGTGGAGACCTCCTTCACAGGCGAGGACCACCTCGCGGCGAGTCTGCTCATGTGCCTGACGCTAGCCGTGCGGTGGCCGCTCCATGGCTGCAGCCCAATCGGGCCAGGCAACCTTTGGCTTGGGCTGGCTAATATCAGGGAGGGCTGAGAAGAGGCAGCTGCTGTACCTGCCCATAGCCTCTCAGACGGTCCCTCTTCGCCCGGACATGCAGGCCTTGGTGGCGAGACTGGAGTCTGCAGCCAACGACGCGGCTAGCTAGCCCCCTGCACTTAAGCACCGGAGGCGCGAGGCCCACCCAACCATCACGGAGCCTGGACTGAGCAGAGAGCGTTTCGCCCGGAGGCAACCTGAACCCGTATACCGCGCTCTGTGGTCCATCGGCCCCCCTCGACGAGGCCCCCGGGTCCAGACAGACCCACTGGGGCTCGCGGGAGCAACGCACCCACCGCCGACTTCCCGATGGCAGAGAGGTCGGGGTGGAAAGTTTTCCTACAAAAAAAGGCCGACCCGCATTTCATCATTACATGTTTCTAGAGTCTCATTTGGGGGTATGTCAACATGTCAAATAAGTTAATTCTGAATTGTGTTACTTCGCGAGCACATAACGTTCTGCTGCTAGCCTGCAGCCCCAGACAGGGTTTGGGGCAGTGCGCTACGGCGAGCGACGAGCTTCCGGGCCCCGATCCCATACTAGCCCTCCCAGAGAGAGGTCAGCGGAGGATCTGGTGAGACTAATGGTGTGTGTGCTTGGCCCGAACGCCGTGTTATCAACACTGAGCTACAAGGCTAATACGGGTTTTCCCACTCCGGGGCTCCGCCACCCCCTCCTTGAGCAAGAGCCAGGGGGGGAACAGCAGCCGAGAGTCACTGGATGAGCAGTCCCGTACTTTATGACGATCGGCCTGCTGACAAGTGACCGCCCCCAAGGCGCGCACGGTGTGACGCAGGGGCCCCCCCCGGCCCTTTTCGTACCACGCCCCCCTCCCTGCGAGGAACACCAGGAGAGGGGCGGGGCCGTGACGTACTCGTGATCCAGCACCCGTTCCGCCCCTCACCGCAGACTCTACAGCATCTGGAGGAGCAAGGTTTTGCTACAGATCTATGGCTGGAGAAAACATTGCGCAGGGTTACTGCTCTGCAATTCTCCAGAAAGCCACCACACATCGCATGGCGACGGTGACGCTGCTGGGGCAGGCGCTTACACCTTACTCCTGTCTCTCTGGCCGCCACGTCCCGGGGGTCCGAACTGGGATCGACAGGATGTCCAGGGGGGCCCACTCCAGGACGAGTGGGGCCGGCCCCCACGGGTAGGCTGCGGAGATCTGGCGGAGGTTCGGCGGTCCAGAGGTTGACCTTTTCGCCATGCAGAAAACGCACAGTGCCCGTCACGTTCGCCTTAAGTCCAGCGACGAGCCGCCTCTAGCAATGGGGCGCTCTGCACATTACCCCTGGCCAGAAGGGCATGCTGTGCGCTTTCCCCCAGTGGGCGTCTCCTCCGGGTCCCTGCTGCGGAGGATCGAATCCAGGAAGGAGGTCGGTGGATTCCTGGTGGCTCCGGACAGTTCCCGCTGTTCCCTATCCTGAGGGAGGCATGGCGTGATGGAGCCCTGGGCCCTCCCGGGACGAGCCGGGGGCTCTAGTCCAGGGGGGGGGGAAAACCCTGTTTTCACGCCCGATAATCGCCGCAGCTCTGGTTTGGAGGCTGAGAGGCGGAACCTCGTAGACGCTGGGTCTTCCCCCTGCGGTGTGGTAGACGCATTCAGGGGCCGAGGGCGCCGGCCACTGTGAGGGCCTAGCCCCACGGAGTGGAGGCTCTTCAGCGACTGTGGTGGTTCTCGTTCCTGGT